GCTGTACAAGTTGAACAGAATGGGTGATAAACAGCATCATTGTCGAACTCCTCTTCCAATCTGCACACTTCCTGTCTCCCCTCTGTCCAGCCGTACTGTAACTTTCTGATCCATGTACAATTTGCTTATCAATCTTCTTTCACGCCAATCGATACCTGTTTCCTTTATGATCTGCATTAATTTGGTCCAGTTTACACGGTTAAATGCCTTCTGCCAGTCTATGAAGCAAACACGCAGTTCTTCATCTATCTCCAAAGTTCGTTCTGCTATAATTCTCATCATCCCAATTGCGTCCCTGGTACCTTTTTTTCTCTAAATCCAAACTGATCTTCTCCAAGTATATCCTCTATTTTCCTTTCAATTCTTCTTTTAAGTATCTTTGCTATTATCTTTGCTGTATGTGCAATAAGGAGAAATAAGTACCAGGAATTAATTAAATAATTTTCCTGGGGAGTAAAGCGCGGCCGGCACGTAAGGCTGACAACCTTACCGCCACCTTTGAGCCGATTGTCTAGATTATGTGGGATCCTCAACGTCTCACAACCCTATGGGCCTTCACGGCCTGGTACAGGGATAGCTTTACTTTTTTACTTACAGCTGACGGCAGATCCACCTACCCACGAAATTGTTACTACCTGTAACCAGCGTGTGATTCTGTCGACACACTGTGTCACCATTATTTCACGCAGCACCATAACGATTGTACTGTATTCACATATTCTGATAAATTCCAGGCTTCGGAGGGTTAGATTCCGGTGCAGTCCGGGCTGCTTATCACAGAATCTCAAAGTTTCACAAGTCACATCAGCATCACAGTCGTGGTCATTTCGGGGATTACAGCGCGCATATGACGACGCCGAATAAACTGCAAGCATATGCGAAAGTGAATAGCAGCCATGTATGATGAATTTGTGGGGTTAGGACCTGAAATACTTCATGCAGCTTCCCATGTAATCGTTTGCGATGACCGAGGATTACTCTGAATTCGCGCCACCGCTGTGATAACCAGTTCGGTCCAGTTGTCTTGATAGCTGAAACTAGTAGGAACAGTAGATCCACACAGACGACGTGTACCAAAGTACCAAATTAACGGTAAGGAAATGGAACTCAGTTCTAGGTCGCTCGTCGTGCATGTCCCCATGAATGGTGGGATATCACTTTCTGCATATTTATTGATCCAAGAAGGGGACGACTTTACAGACGGGGTTTAAACTGAAATCAAGAAAGTGGCAAAGCATTTTTGCTCCAAATATAGCGGAATTTTAAGAATGTGATGCCATATACACTGGTAGATAGGTACGTACACAGTCACACAAGTGAGAGAGTCACATCTCGAGGTACATTGTATTCAATTGGCCCTCCAAGTTTCCTGACTTCAGAGACGGCTTATGTGGAATGAGTTCTCAAAAACAGATGGTAGCATATGCCAGTTTAAAATGTGGTTAAGTGCACGCCGACCTTCATAATAATTCAAGAAATGTTTACTAACATATAACCATCAATACGACCTCCAGCTTTTCTTCACTTCAACAGTTATCTAGGTGGAGAAGAGTCGTAGTCACGAAGCTAGTCAAGAAATACCCCGCCTTGCACGAAATCCAAAGGCTTATGATCATGTTCACAAAAAAACCACACTGTACTGTATTCTGAGCCAGTTTAATCACGTTCAGTATCTTACACTCTATTTAAAATCCAATTTAATATCATCATCTTCCAAGCCATCTCATCCCTACAGGACTTTCGTCTAGCATTCTGTATTCAGTCTTGTTTCCTGTATTGTTAATGCTTGTCCCGATGACCTCTCTCCTCAATTTAATCGTCATGATGTTTTGTGAAGAGGACATAAGATTTTTCATTGTGTATTTTTCTCAATTCCCCTGTTACTCTGTGTTCGCCTCTAAGAACGAGAGAACAATTTTCCCACCCATTCAGAATAACAGCCACAATTATACATTCCATTTCTCAGGTTGTTGGTAGGAGGCGGTAAGAAATAAAATTCTAAAGTGAGTCCATTTTCATGCGAACATAAATATACGTTAATAACAATCGGAGAGTGAAATACCACTTAACATTTATTATCAGTAGATACATTGCAAAATAAAATTGTGGAATGTTATTGTTTACTTTAATTCAGTTAAAACCATGTTCACAAATCGTACAGGGTGATTCATTCAAAGGAGGCTCCGAATTGTTTCTAAATCACGCAGTAAATTGACGATGAAAAAGAAACTTGCCAATACCGTCCTGTGTAGCACCGGGCCGGTACCTGCCTACTCGCTTCGTACCGTTTCCTTCAGTCGCTTGCTTCATTGCGTTGCGACTATCATTCTAGCTGCAAAAACGGAGCACCGTGTCGTCCTCTGTCTCCAGGCAGAGAGAAAGTTCAGCGTCCGCTGTCAACACAGCTATCTCCCGTCTACCGAGGCGTGTGCTCGCCAGGCAAGTTCCTGCCTGATTTATAATCATTAATTCGAGCCTGCCTTGGAGTCAATCACCCTTTATGAAATGATTCGCACACACGTACTTGAATTATTAACGCTCTGCACTATGAACATACCTAATATCGCTGACACAGTTCATAACACAAAGCGCTTTTCTTCCGTTTGCGTCAGATTTTAAGAAACACAAAGGTTTAATTAATTAGACGTAAGAATCACAATATGATATGCACAGTAGTTTCTTAGGTTTTTTCATCACAGTCATTTCTGTCCAGTTCACCTGTTCACGGATGCCGGGGAATTTCCACTGTGCAGAAGGATATGCATGTAATCAAACGTGACACTTCCGTTACCAACATCGGACCTCACTAATGTGCTTTCTTCTCGTGCGCAACACAAGTACCACTAAGAACTATTCTGACTGTACAATGTAGTCTTGTTATTTCAGCTAACTTCGTGAACTTACAGTACTCATTTATCGTAATTCGGAACCTGAGTTACAATTTTAGCTTTCAGAAGGTCTGAAAATCGAAATGGCTGCCATGTTAAACGTATGGAGTGCCTGAAATATCTCCGAGTGGGTCACACATTCCAGAAGAAGTCCTTAATAGGACTCAGATATGCGAAGGGCTTCCCGCAAGGACCCTCTGTCCCAGAAGAACTAGGGAACTATTGAAACTGCATAGAAGCTTACAGTGGGTGATAGGACTACTTAACAGGACATTGCCACCTGAAAGGATACCTTTCCAGGTTTGGATTAACCAACAGTCCCACTTGGGCCTGGGAAGAGGCGTAACACACACACGCATGTCCTACGCTTCGCTTAGTGGGGCGTGGAGTCCAGCTGGGTCCACTCGGAACGGCGACCACTGATTGGCCTATTGTAGCCTGCCACGGGTGATTATGACGATGGGGAATCTGGTGGAATGAAAATTGGCAAGGGAAACCAAAGTACTCGGATAAAACCCGCCCCAGCGCCACTTTGTCCACCACAAATCCCACTTGACCATATTCGGGATCGAACCCAGGCCGCCGCAGTGGGAAGCCAGTGACTAACCGCTTGAGCTATGGCGCGACCATATCCTACGCTTACTTAAAATTTCGGCAGCGGGGTCACCGCTTCATGGAGCCAGGTGTTACCAAGCCGCCCCATCCTGTAAGCAAGGCACTACACTTCGTTCAAAGTGCAGGGCTGTTGAGGGACTCATGACCTAAGTCACTGATGATGACGCAACCTCAGAGATAGTTTAGGCGCAATGTAGACCACCTGATAAACTAGAGCCAAGTACCTCATAAGTAATGTTATCGTGTGGCATGTGACCCCGTGTAATCTGGCAGGCCTCACGACGTCACATCCCGGAACATAGTGCTTTCCATCGTGTGGCATGTGACACCGTATAGTCCGGTAGGAAGTCACGCACACTCCTGGCAGGATCACGAGTCACATCCAGGAATCCCGGAACATAGTAACATCATAACTGTTTCGCGTTTTATAGAGAAGAAAGCTCAGTGTGCCACCTGTTGTTCTTCCTGCGCTGGATCTGAACTCAGAACACTGTACTGGAACTGCCGATTGCACTTGTGGACGCGTCCAGTTGCTAGGGCCATACTGACGTTTAGAATCGAACCAGAGGACACATGCAGCTCGCCATCAGGGTTCCAAAGGATGGCCCCTGTTCTTTTGGAACCCTGGAACGGCAAACTGTCTCCGTATCTGTAACTTCGCAAAATACGAAAATGTCTCCCCTTTTCGGCAGTCCTCACGCCTTGTCGCTTCGTAGAGGGAACTTCTCTGGCTCCGTCCCGTCTTTGTCGTCTGTGTGCACGGCGTTCCAAGACTGCAGCCTCCCCGTGCCGAACGCAGTGTACACGACGGCTCCTCCCGCGTACGTCCCCGCTATGATGCCGAACACCTTGCGCCACTGCGCGTAAGTTTGCTGTGCAACAATACAGTGACGTTAATGCCAGACAGGGGAGCGGTCCTTGTGTGCGCACGCAAGCTAATCACTGCGCGTACGTTTACTGCGCAACAATACAGTGACGTCAGTGCCAGACAGGCGAGCATGCCTTGCGTGCGCACGCAAGCTAGTCACTGTGCTAAGTTTACTGCGCAACAATACAATGACGTCAACACACTTGTGTAGGCAGTAAGCTAGTAAACACTGGCAACTCCTATCCAATAGGCGCCGTGGGCTCTTTCCCCGGTGGTAGAGTGGCTGGGGTGTGAAGCTGACTACTCACCTCAATCTACAGCTGCAGTCAAAAATCGTGGAGCTACACCCCCATGGCACCTATTGGATAGGAGGCAGGGTGGGACACAGCCGGACTGGACGCTGTGGAGAAGAGAAAAATCTCTTTCGCCTGTCGGGAATCGAACCCCGGACGACTAGCCCGCAGCCCGTCGCTATACCGACTGAGATATCCCGGCTCCTGAAGTGAGCCTGCTTCAGCGTGTAAATGCTGCTAACGAGAAATATAATCTAGAAATGTCGTTTTTTTTTCTGCTGTGGATATTTTTGTTGTTAACAGGGTCAGTGAACTTAAACATTTCTTGTCAGTTTTCTGAATAAAAAATTGGAATTTCTTCATCGAAAGCGGGCAGATTAGGACAGTGGTTCTCAACCTTTGTCAGACCGCGGCCCGGCCCTGTATAATTGATGCAGGGCCCCGGTACCAGGCCGCAGCCCGGCGGTTGAGAAACACAGGATCGGGACATTACGTTACGAGGAACGTTAAACAGGCCACCTGGTGTTGTTAGGCTGGACATGTAGCTGCGATGGAAGAGACAAGGACAGCAGACAGTTTTTGTGGGATAGCGTTCACTTGGAGGGGGAGGAGAGGGAAGATATCTGTACCTGGTTCAGGGGGCTCGGTGCTGAGCGTGTGGGTTCAGATACCAGAGAGTTAGTTGGTTAGTAAGATAGATCTTAGGGAAATAATAGGTTGTGAGGATGGGACTTGGATGGATCTGTCGCAGGATTATTTCCAGTGGCGGAATCTGGTATTAGCGGTGCTGAACCTTCTGGTTGTGCTACCAGAGAGTCGGTGAGTCAGTCAGCTGCATGGAACACTTACGTTGTCCTGGGTGAGCATTCCGACCATGAGTGATGAGAGGAAACCCCCGAGAGAGGACAGGGTGTTGGCCATGCCGAATATTGTGCCTGCAACAGCGAGCGTCTTCTCTGAGCACAGCCACTATCTTTTGTTAATCAGTAAAGAAACACGTTAACTGCCCCTGGCTTTCCAATAGGAATTATACTTTACCAGGGAAAGGGGACTGCTTTAAGTGAAACGCAGGATAACGGTAGTTGAATTCTTAACCGTCTTTAGCGATATTTACAGGCTGTGAATGAACAACTGTACCCATTGTAAACAGCTGCGGTTGCGCCTGCCTTCCAGTACGAACCTTTCGCATCTTCTGCACGCTGTAAGAACTAACCTAGGAGTTTCGCAACGTCATCATGCAAGCAAGGAATTCCATTTAGAACAATTTTTCTCAGTGAGGTAAAGTTGTTCCCGTGCTTAACCAATTAAGCACGGCGCCACGAAGACGTATGGGGGTATGGAGTTATAGCTCCACCATTCTTGACCTCGGCATTAGATAGAGGTGAGTGGTCAGTTTCACGCTCTGGATGCTATACTTTCGGGAAAAGAACCCCGGTACAAATTCGGTAGGAGGCTGGATGGGTTCCAGACCCGGTCTGGACGCTATGGAGAAGAAAAACTTCTTACCCTTGCGGGAAATCGAACCCCGGCCGTCCAGCCCGTATCCCGTCGCTATACCGACTGAGCTATTCAGCTCATTCTATCTCATTATCTGTTCAGATATGTAAGACCATTCGTTCATCATTTATGTTCACTGGACAGAAGAGTAAATATGGATCTAGCCCTAGCGTTGCTCCCACTTCAGAAAACTGCACATTCAGCAGGCCTGGATACCAAGTTTGATGAACATCGGTCAGCTGTTGTACAGTACCTGAGAAGTTCGGGGCGATGTCCAGGCCATTGCCAAGGTAACCGCCGCACACGGCGCCGTTTACAGTGAGCGCCACTGTGAAGAACGTGACAGACGCGGCGCGGTCGCAGCCCAGGAACATCTGGCCTATCATCGTCACGGACGGCACCCCCAGGGCTGCCAACATAGACACAGTGTACAGGCTCACTTTGAGTCCATTAAAAATAAATTACAGTGCTCAGTGGGGATTTGTTTTTATTTCTGTGGGTGTGGTGAGACTGAGTCCACTTGGTACGTCGGCCACTAATTGGCCTATTGTACCAGCCCCGGATGATAGATGATTATGGAGCAGTCAGTTGAATGAGAAATGACAGGGGAAACAGAAGTACTCGAAGGAAACCTGTCCCAGTTCCAATGTCCACCACAACTCCTGGGATCGAACCCAGGCGGCCGCGGTAGGAAGCCGGCGACTAACCGCCTGAGCTATGGCAGGTCCTGATCAGTGGAAATACTGAAAACTCGGAATTACGATACACATGGAAAGTTGCTTTAGTATCTCTAGTGTTACTGGGACCACAGATTGAGAAACTTTGGTCTAAGCAGTTGGTATGGAGCTGTTACGGTTTTGATGACAGACGGTGCAGCGGACCTTACCGAAGGCAGTGAATATCTTGCGGGTTGCCGTGCGGGACAGGCGCTCGGTGCGCAGCAGGTGGTCGGCCAGGGCACTCGTCAGCACAGCGAACACATACTTGCCCAGGTAGGGCAGGCTTGACAGCAGGCCGTTCTGGAACAGGTAGCGGCAGGCTTGTAACGCAATGCAAGAGCAGCAACGGAGATAACATGTGTCGCTTGTTCCCGTCGTGTAGGACTACTTCCTTGGAGCGCGCTAGAACATCCTCGTTATGTAGGCCTGACATGAAGTCTCCGAAATCTTGCGATTTCGGGTTACCGTAGCAGAGAATTTTCGATCGTAGATACAGTGAATATAGCAGGTCACGAACGAGGAAGCAGTCTTTTTTTTAGTGTATTGTGCGTGTTGTGTGAGAGTATTGATAATCTGATGTGGGCATGTGAAGTGTAGTGAACTACGTGCATATAAAGAAGACGGTTTAGATTGACTATTTGTGCGTATTATTCGTGGTACATGATGGAAAGTGTCGCCTCGTCGCGTCATGCGATAACATGCATAACTGCAATGGAACGGGGGAGAAAGCAGAAAGCTTATGTAACAAATGATTTAGAGTTCGCGTCGAATTGCACTGGTTTAATTAATTTTTCATTTTAAAAATATATTTTAATATTAATATTTGATATATTTCCGCCTATCGATTTTGAATTTTTTCCGGAACTTGTCTCACACACACACACACACACACACACACCCGCTACTGCCACTGCTAGAAGGACAAAAAGTACTTAAGCTGGAAGTAAAATACAGAGACAATGAGACTACGAGTGATGAAGGAAGGAAAGAAAGAGGGAATTGAGGACGGAAGAACGTTGTGCGAAAAGGAAACAGAAGGAGGAAGGTAACCAACGAGAGCATAACGATCGAGCCAGGGGCTTACCGCCTTGATGTTGAAGTGCAGGATGTGCTTCATGTACGTGGGCAGCTGGTTCACAACCGTGAAGTAACCGAAGACACTGGCGCCGTGAGTGATGATGATGGCCCAGACGCAGGGGGACGTCAGGATGCGGAGCCACGGCACGCGGTGCACCTGTGGGCATGGACACACTTGCTTCGTAAAGAACGCCTAGATCAGCCAGGAGGCCCGTCACAGAATTCCTTGCTGTCGCCTCACCGGCTTCAAAAAAGTACGCATACCGTAAATCTCGGTAACGGCAACATTTGTGGGGGGGGGGAGAATATACTGAGCATAAAAAGCACATGTGATGTTTCTCCACAAATTCTGGTCGAAACATTTCTCCCCCGAAAGCTCCTGGCTGCGGCTGAGGCAGCTTCACTCCCAGCAGCAGGGGTACCCACCCAGTGCGTACCGGGGTTAAAGCGGCCGGTGCGTGAAGCTGACCGCCCACCTCTACCTAGTGCCGAAGTTACGAAAGCATGGAGCTATACCTCCGCTTCATGGCCTGGTGTTGAATTAAACACAGGGACAAAGTTACCATTACCTGTAGGCTTACACGTTACTAGAAACATTCAGGCCTGGGAGACAGAGAAGTGGAGAGTTGCCTGGAGGTAAAGGTAAAGCTATCCCTGTAACAGGTCGTGGAGGCCCATAGGTTTGTGAGACGTTGAGGCTACCACATTTTCTAGACAATCGGCTCACAGATGGCGGTGAGGTCAGCCTTACAGCCCTTTACCCCCAGGAAGATTCCCGGTACCCATTTCTGTCAAGGGCTGAGTCGACCCCAGGCCTATAGTGCGGCTCGAAGGATTAGACCAATTGAAAAATCTAATGACCTCATCAGGAATCGAACCCGGGACCTTCCGGCGCCCTTCATTCTGAAAAATGCTGATGATGAATTGTGTTGATCTCTTGTACATGTGACGGAGGGACGGACGGGGCATCCAGATATGGCACAGTCCAGGCCGTGGACTTTGCCAGTCACCTCAATCTGAACTTGTGGGGAGGGGACCCTCCGAGAGGTCCCGTCCACCGTACGACGCCAGACGAGATAACAAACTTTCCATTCAGCGGAGAAGGGCTCAAACTCCAAGTCGATGTTTCCGGATCAGTGACTCTCGAAGGCCAATAAACTCGTTACATCATCTCTATTTAAATACGGCCGGTCTTCGTCATCTGCCGATCCTGATTGCTTCATTTTCATTTTCTGATTGAATTTAACTCTATCACTGTCACATGCTGAGGCTGTATCACCATCATGCAGTGACAAGTCACTAGACCCTGTTCCCAACACGTGACGGGAACCAAACCGCCCACCGGGAGATCTCGCTAACTCACAGGACTTCTCTTCCACAAGATTGCCGCCTCAAGACATGTCTCAGACAGGCAGCTTTCCTTGCTTGTTTTCCCTAGAAAGTCTCCATACTCTATGCCCTTTATTAGTGTTCCTTAGGCCCTTTTGTGAACCAGCTCCGTTGTTACTTCATGGTCAGTTTTAATAGCATCCTTCCATCTACGCCTAGGTCTTCTACGTGGGCTCTTCCGTTCAAGTTCCACAAGAAACATTATGAGTGAATTTCTAATGCGTCCTATATGTCACATCAGCATCGTACCTGGAATTATTTAAGCATTTTAATAATATTTGGTGAAGAGTACAAGTTATGTAGCTATACCACTTAATTTTCCCCGTCCTTCGGCATTTTAATTCGATGCATAATCACCTTCGCATATACTTGACGCCATAGGTCAAAGTCGTTCAGTTCTGTTTTAATCATAAAATACTGGTAATTTTATTTTTGTACTTCCTGTACCTTTCCGTGACTGGTGGCGCCTCCGATAGAGCTCTCTATGTAGCGCCGCTCTTCCTCGGAGATTCGAGGGTGCTGTGCCGGGGAGTCGAACACAAGGAAGAACCAGGCGATGCTCCAGACCAGCCCCACCACTCCCGTGACATAGAACACAGACTCCCATCCTAGGGACGCGATCAGGAACCCACAGACCGGCATGGTGATGGCTGCCCCCAGGGACGACGCTGCAACAGATACATTCAGATGGACATGTTTATACAGGGTGTTCGGTTCATGTGCCTTATATAGAGCCCACGCATCAGTAATATAATCTATACAGAATGTTCGGTTCCTTTGCGATCTGAGCTATGTAGAGGCCACTGACTTTCTGCATAACGACGGAGTCACTGCCGATGTGTTTTGCTGTAATGTGATTTGTGCAGGTTCTGTGGTGTTTTCGGGCTGAACGTTACAGAGCCCGCGTATTTCCTGCATAGTGGTGGAGCGATCGCCGATATGTTATGCTGTGACGTAACCGATAAAGAAACGCATGATGTACGCGAACAACAGTTTGGAAACCGTTTCTGTAGAATGTGTTGTGACGTTGCGTGACATTAAGAACTGTGGAAGTTTTATGAATTAAAGATGCGTTGAAACATTACAGCTGACGCAGACTGTGAGAGGGAAGACGCCAAAGCCCTCTGACCTCCAGCACTCAACCCATGCTGGGCATGTATCAGTGGCTTCAGTTGCTTCTTAAGGCATGCAAATTTATGGATCTTTTGTTTTCAAATGGCGTCGTTGTATCACGAATGATGTAATTACTGGAGTTCTGTCGAAACGGGGAGCTTTGATGTTGTGCTGTAAAGTATGACACGACGCTTAAACCCCTGTCGGGTTTTGACATTCAGGGTAAAATTGTTCCTGCTCCTGAGCACAGATGCCCACTCATTCTAGAACGACCATAACTGAAGACGGCCGGCCTCACCCCTGGTACCTGTTTGCATAAAGTGTTAGAGAAGAAAAAAATAGATCTCCTGCCGGGAATCAAACCCGTAGCCAGCCTCTTAACAGTTATATAGGATGTTATGAGAAAGTGGATGTCACTTTGCCGATCCGGTTACCGGGGTGGTTAAATTTTTATTCGAAAGATTCGCAGTTCGAATTCCGGTTAAGAATTTCTTTTTAACAGCGGTGCTTCGTCATAGACAGACACCAAGCTGATATCGCAAACTTGCCATCGCCGGGAGAGCTCAGTCGGCATACTGACTGGGCTCCTGGCCGCACGATCGAGGAGTCGGGGTTGAGTTCCCGGCAGAGGCAAGAGAGTCTTCTCTCTCTCTTACCCACAGCTTCCTATCCAGTGGGCGCTGGGGTGAAGTGGCAGGGGCGTGAAGCTGACCTGTGTGGAGCTCTACTCCCACTCCCCCATAACCATTCGTGGAGATGTGCTCAATTAATGAAGCACAGAGACAACTGTGTGACTTCTTAGTACAACGCAGGCTGTGGTCAATGACTTGTGTGTCCACTTACCCATCATATTGGACATGAACTTGCTGCGTTCCGTGGGTGGAATCCAGCGCGCAGTCATCGGGTGAATTGCAGGCCACGTCGCGCCCTGCAAATACAACATTAATGTGTCAAATTGTCATTCGAAGCCTTCTGGTAGGCGAGAGAGAATTTTGTGTGTGACCGAGGCAGTGCACCGACACTGTACCTCGTACTGTAACCGTACGTCCTTCGCTAAAATTATTTAATTAAGGGCATGACCAATTTAGGCTTTGTTTCACACCCTGAGAGAAGCTCCTCCGGCGAGATACCATCCCGGGACCGTCTAGTTGTAATTCAACTATTGTCTTCCTTAGGCTTAGGGTGTCACTATTGTCCCTAACGTCGCCAGTTTGCTCCTAATGTCATAAACCCATGAACTGACATTGTGTGAGACCGGCCAGGAGGGGTCTTGGGTTCCCTGCTCGTGTGCCTTGAAGACCTAAAAAGTTTATGATGGGCCTCTCAAAAAATACGAATGTAGAACAGATGCCGGGCTCGACCCTTGGTTTTCTCTTTTTATTTTCTTGTTTTTTAATGCCCACTGGGGGACTTGTAAAGAGAGGGCAGTTGTTTACAGGGAGCGGAGGTGGACAGTTGAAAAGGGAGTTACAGGAGGGTAGCTAGGGAGTGGCGTGTATGGTCAGTGAGCTGGGAGCAAATTAGTGAAAAAGGTTAAGTGTGACGGAGCGGCTAGCTTGGAGGAATAATATAAGGATTGATTACTGCATGAAATTTTAAATTAAGACTGCAATACACGGCGTGTTCTGGAGACCCCGGATTCATGAACCCCGAAGTGTGTTCCACTCCCATATCCGAAGCACCCGTATCCATGAGATGAAGACTCATCTCGAGCAATAGTCGTGGCAACTGTAGGTGAGCGGGCGGCTACAGTACTGTAACCCCCCACGATAGGAAACCTGTATGTTACCAGCATTAGTCCGAGCAGCACCCTCAGCACGACGACGGCCGTGTAGTCGAGTCGCGCCGCTACAGGCGTCAGCAGAGTCAGCACCGAGGCGCTCAGCATGGAGTAGCCGAAGACGCGGTGTCCGCCGATGATCTCTGCCAGACGGCCACCAGGCAGCTCAGTCATCACGTAGCCCCAGAAGAAGCATCCCAGGATAATGTTCTGCTCATACTCATCCCACTGGAAGCGCAGACCGTCGAAACTCTGCTTGCAACAGAAACACGCCAAACGTAAAAGATTGACGAGGGTTCAAGCCTGTCCTCATATTTCGATGTGAAAAAAATAAATACTCTTACAGATTTCGACGAAATTCGGCGCTCAGTCCCTATAAAAATATGTGTTCATTTCGTTCTGATCAGTATGAAAACTGTCGTCTGGCTTGTACAGCCAGGTAGTTCGGAGGCAGCCCGACGTTTAGGACGAAGCAAGAAGCTAGCAGAAGCAGGCGGCAACCTATTCGAAACGTCGGGCTGTCTCCGAAGTACACGGCGTTAGTAGTCTGCATAGCCACTATTGTGAGGCCCTCAGATCCAATGCAGAATGAGCGTGTCTGAGAGCAGGGCGCTGCATGATTAGGGGCGTGTGGTGCACATCTGAAGGAAAGAGACCAGTTGGAAGACCTAAGCTCCTGAGCCAGTTGAATCCAGTTCACATCCTCGCAGCCTATGTTTGTCCATTTTAATATCATCATACAGTATGCGCGTAACGGCTCAGTCGTGTGTTTAATAATCGAAAATATCCCATAAGTATACTTCGGGCCCCAAAACTTGAGTTTCCACTCGACAGCATATCAAATGTTACGGGCTACGTGTCATCTGTTACAGTTACGTTACTTATCTGCAGGCCGACTTCAGTGACCTTATAGAATCCGGGCAGTCCCACCAGTACCATTAAATAACGTAAGGTTCAGACGGTCGGGGTCAAGCGTACAAAACAGTTTCGCGAACCACATTTTGTTGGCCTCTGAGGACGTGCGCAGTTGTTGACGGCTGCGCAGAAGGGCAGTCTTTCAGTTCTGGTAGCGCGACTGCTGTCACATCAATCAAACGGGGGGGGGGGACAGCAGCCAGGAACCTTGTGACGTCAAATTTTTATTGGAACGCCAATTATTTCGATTGTTCCACAGACCATAGACCAAAGCTTGTGTAGATCCCACCATTTTGATGCCATACACGAGATATCTCGCTCAGGGACACCTGTCTTTCTGGTCTGTATTTAATAGATCTCTCAGCAGTTAATGTCACTCAGTGATGTAACGCCACAGTCTAGATATTCCCTGATTTTGGAGAACACTACATCTCACCAACGTCTCCACAAAACCCTGTCCTGTTGAGGTAGGGTTTAGAAAATACCGTAACTTTGAAGCCCATTTTAATAATATTCTCACTTCTGCACCTAAATCTCTCAAGAGTTTCTCGCCCAGTATTCTGCATGCATATGGCGGATATGCCCCCATTGCCACCACAGCACCCAGACTGGCCTCCTGTCCAGTGGACAGACTGCCGATCTCTCAGCCTGTCAATCCGGTCCGTACACTGTGTGCCAAAACAGAGCCGAATGCACTCGTTTCGGCCTGTCGCTGGCTTCTGCCCACCAAATTTTGTACCGCATGGTGTTATCTGCGGATGCCAGGCACTCTGATATGTGTGAGAAGCTAGTTAGCGATTCGGTCGGTCAGCCAGTGATTTCCCCAGTAAATGTCGGCTCACTGCTTTGCAGCGTCGACGTTTCTCGTCACCATGAGACAGTGGCGGAGGTCGTCACAACTTCATTAGAAAGTTACCGAACTCTATTTTCAATATGGAACAGGAGCAAAAATCACCGCAGCGGGTAACTGGTCGGATAAAGAGGATTTTTGGTTATTTAAGGTGCGACGTCTCCTCAGTAGAGCACAGAACTGGCAGACGTCACAGCCTGCTTGCGCGGCCATCATGATAGGACGAGCCACAGCATTTCAACTGATATGTTGATGTAAACGTGTACGTAAACACACAGCAGCTTCATTTAACAACACTGTCTATACAGCGTCAAGTGATGAGATGATTTATAACTGGAAGTGATTTGATCCTTGAATTGCCTGAAGCTTCAGTCAGGATAGTCGGAGTTGCGACCGAGACTCGAACATAGAAACTCTCGACTACAAGAACCTGCTCGGTTTAGTGCCTCACGCACTAAACGTAGTGATATCTGATATCGGACTTTATTGATCGAGCTACGTTTTAGTTCATATTGATTGACTGCAGCCCATACAAGGCTCTATCTGAATGTACACAAAACCCCTTAGAGCAGTCACAGTGGTCAGCTCTCTCGCTAACGCTTCGAAGCCTGGAGTTTATAAAAGTTCAGTCCGTACCTCACAGGAAACACCGTCTCCGCTACAGAGCCCAACCGGATAATGCTGTTTATACGGAACACATAAATACACAGTGTGTGGGCAAAATGCAGTTTTCGTACGTTAATGTGTGCTGTTCATGTAGTTACCACTGTGATTTGAACATGGAACACTTTTTCAATGTGATGTTTATTTAATGAACTAAGAAATGTTATTTGTGCCTTTTGCGTTGTTAATTAGCTCTGTAAACAAAAGGTTGGGATGTGCTGTGAGCATACTGCGTGTACTCGAAGGTGGAGTACAACCCTTAACCCTCGTTGTGGCATAAACAATATTTTCGTTTACATAATTCAACCTGTTACACGTACTAAACATAAAATGCCTGTATTTCTGTTCAGTTCCATGAGAACGAGAAGTATCCTTTTATTTTCCCCTGAAGATGCGACCTCCGTGCGAATCGCAGCAACTGCCAATTAAATCTCGTTTGTTGACCCAACCTTGAGTGATGTTCACATGTCTGTACATTCACGGCTGCGCAGACACAAGGCCAATGTTGATCCGTGGGATTTACTTACGCGGCCTACCGAGTGCACAAGGATGTAAATGTTTGTTCAGCGTAACTCTGCGTTGTCAGAAGCACCTGAACTTGCCCTGCAAAGCGGCTCTTTAACTTAGTTCTCACTTATTTTAGTTACGGTCCATTTCAGGACGCCGAGAGTAGCCCAGACTGTACGGCCGCTAATGACAGAAAGGCTGGGGTATAACGAATTTGACTGGATATGGAGGAAGGCGGTCATGGTCTAGTTTCACGTTTTACGTGGAGGAACTTAAGAAAACCATGGTAGCCAATCTTGTGTCCCAGATGTGAATCCGGGGCGTCTCGAGTGCGACGTTCGCATGTTTAAATCTAACAGGGTGAGATGGGCTGGGCATGTAGTACGGGTAGAAGCGAGAAATGCGGACGGAATTATTGTTGCAGTATCTGGCGTGAACAGACCTGAGTGAAGGCAGTGACGTCTCTGCATTCAAGAACCAGGCCACAGTGACGCGTGGGAGAGTGTATATGCGGCAGCACGAACTCATAGCTGGAGATGAGTGGTCAGTTTAACGCCCCGTCCGCGTTACCTCCGGTACGCCCAGGGCCCCGGAATTGGTCTGAAAGCGGCGGAGAAAAGAAATTCTTTTCCTCTGCCGGGAATGAAAGGCCGATGCTCCGCTACTGCAGCCCTTCCCCCTACTGTCTGTACTGACTGAACCACGGCAGCGCTTACGGGGCACATATGGGGGGATCTGCTAATTGACATTTGAAGGTCTGGCACGCGGAAGAGACCAGCAGATGAGGACCGGGCCTCGCCCTTGCGACACTTGTTAGCAGAAATGTAACAAGTGGTCTAAACGCAAGGACAACACGGGACGTGTTCTGACTGGGCCTGCCTCATTTGCATCCCGACAAGTGCTGGAGTAGCATACTGAAGTCTGGGGAGACTGCGTGTTGGGCAATACTTCTAGGGAGATCTATGCAGAAATGTGCACTACGGACGCTTTAGAATGCAAGACTGGGGAGAACCGGCAGAGAATATGAATATAAATTATAAAAGGGAAATTGGAGAGGACGGTAAGAACGGAGGAAAGTGAGGTAGAAAGAAATTTAGATGATCAGTAATTAGCAAAGGCAGCAACGGGAAATGCTGAGTTCTGTATTGTGAGAGTGGTGCCTTCAGCAGGATGCCGGAGCGTGGGACCGGGGAGTCGAACTCCGGCACCCCAAATTGTAAATTATAACGGACATGATAAATATTAATTCATTAAGACGACCAGGGGATCTGGGTTCAATTCCTTGCTGGGGCAAGAGATATCCAGACCATCAGTGGGGCCTGTCCAGTGGCTCTTTCCCAGGAGGCAAAGCGTCCGGGTCGTCATCTTCACGGCGCCGCGCTTAAGCATGGCAACAGCTGTACCCCTACCTTACCAATGAGAATACAGCATTAAGAGGACACAGAGGGGGCATGCGGTAGCTACGCTACACGCCGGAAGGTCGCGGGCTCGGTTCACGGTCAGGTCACTGGATTTTTCGATTGACATAATCCTTTCAGCCACACTGTGGCCCCGGGATCGACTCAGCCTCTAACATAAATGAGTACCAAGAAACTTCGTGGGGGTAAAGGGAGGCCGGCGCGTGAGGCTGACAACCTCACAGCAACCTGCGAGCCGATTGTCTAGAGAAAATGTGGAAGCCTCGACGTCTCAAACCCATGGGCCCCCACGGCCTGTTACAGGGATAGCTTTACCTTTTTATTGGACACAGAGGCGTAAGTCCGCAGTAATGCGATACAGCACTGGCATAAGGAAATGGAAATTTTAAATGAGCTACTGTTGCAGGTACTAACATCAAAACGGTTCGCCCTCGAGGTGTGGGGCTCCTTATCGAAAACAGACAAATTCGCCAAAAACTTTGTTAAAGATTCATTTGGAATATTGCCTCCTCCACCGGCGGCGCCAATTCCAACGCCATCAAATTATACCTTCATTTTAGGGGAAAGACGACCCCCATGTTTAATACAGCCCCAGGAGTCTGAGGACCACAGCATGGAGAGATATAGGAAAGAGAATTCTGAGGCTGCTACAGGCACTGAGTTACCTAACCTGTGAAAGTTAATGACAAATTAAGTTTTGTGCATTACACAATAGTTACGTGAGTCATGCAGCCACCTAAATCACCTGACCTCGGGCAGTTGTGTGGGCTTGTCGGAGAGCAGGGTGGCGTTGCCGGGGTCCGAGCACTCCGTCGCGGTGGCGCTGGTGTGCGAGATATCGGTCTTGTTGCTCGGAATCACCATGGCGACTATGGCGATCGTGAGGTTCACTCGCAGCATGTAGTTGAACATGAAGCCGAGGATGACCATGATGTTGAGCACTTGTCGGCAGCTCAGTCGGTCTGTAACACATACTGCTTGATTGGCGGACTGAATTGGTGACATACTGAGTGACTGACTGAATGGTTGGCTGTATGGCTGTTTGACTACCAGTTAGCCGAATGACTGACCACCGGCTGATCGAAAGGCTGTTAGACTGACTTAATGGCTGATTAACCGTCTGACTGCCGGGCTGACTGTTGACTTAAAAGCTGGATGACGAGCTGAGTGGCCGGCTGGCTGACTGATTGGCTGCTTTTCCCAGCCATTTAATCTTGTCAACAGATGGCACAGCGGCCTCACACGCGTCCCATTAGCAGTTGTAGTGCTTGAGTGCAGCATACCGAACTGACCTCATTTGCACTGTCTGCACTCTCAGTTCCCCGCTTGCACCGTGTTTCTGACATTCATCTTGACTCTCTCTTCTCCCTACCTTACTTAACGATACTTTATCAACTACACAGACCATACAGCAAAAAGTTATTTGTGACGAACTGCAAGACCGTGAAAGACAGCGGCTGTGGCCTACTTGAAGCCCCTATCCCAGAATCCTGGTGGAGATAAGAGACAGAAACGAAAGCCTGGGTCACGATAGGGTCGAGATTTGAACCGAATCTCCCGGATGTGACGAAATAAGACGACGCGCGCAGACTCACAAGAAACTTCAGTTTTCATCCATAAACAGATCGTGAGGTCCTGAGACTTGTCGTGACCTCAGTCTTCTGTCCCAAGGTCAGCAATACAGGACCAAACAGGGCCCGACCTGACGAGAGCCGGGTTCCATGCAGCAGTTTCGAACTCAAGACTACAGTCTTCTGGGATGTCACTCCGTATAGTCCGGTAGATATGTAACGCATACTATAAAATTTAAGAGAAACATACTGCCTCCATCTTCAGGGTAGAAGAAATAATCTCAATAAGTAGCCCCATCGAGCACCGAGAATTCAGAAGCTGACATGCGCGCCTATGGTCAAGAACAGGTTCATTACCGTATTCACAAAAGACCGACTTTGGTCCGTATCCTGAGCCACTTGAATCCAGCCCAAACTCTGACGCCGATTCTAATACTGACCTCAATTTTGTGTAGGTCCTGTATTTCTAAACTCATTTGGTCACCCTAATAATGTTTCGGGAAGAGCACAGAGTATGACCGAGTAAGTTAGCATAGCGGTACAACACTAGATTCGTGCTCGGGAGGTGCTTGGTTCGAATTTGGCCGGGGCGCCGGCTACTCTGAGACTTTGTTTACCCAGGCAGATACCGGAATGCTTCCTAGATGAGACCATGAGATGCTATGCAGTCTCATCTGCCGACGGGGCCCCGAAACACCCCCCTCCAAATTCGAGTATACAGTAGAAACCTCCATCCTCCTGTCACTTCCTCTCTCTTCGATCCAAATATCCGCGCCAGCACCCTCTTCACAAACGCTTTGGAAGTGCCTGAGACCAGCATTCATACATCCGTGCCCTTTAAATTTCAAACCAGCACGCTTACCTTCCGTGCGGAAAGCCCTGCCGGCACTTCGCGGGAGCTACGAACTCTGCCCGAGGTATGCCACTTGTGACGCTTTAGCAATTCTGGCCCTAGGCTTGAATCTCCCGAGCGATGACTCCTGAAGCTGTCTTATGAATAGGGAGGGGGCGGGGACAAGCAAGGCCGTACAACATAAATTTGATGGAAATCGATCCACCTGTTGCTAAGTTATGACTTCTGTTCATTTATATCGCAAACCGTGAGACTCGCGGAAAAGTGCATCGGACACAAAATGTATGCTGCGTTTCTGTCTAAAGATTTTGTCACAAACAGGGTTCGCTCCGGTATCATGGAGTCACGCTCGAGATATTGATACAGCGGCTGTACGTTCCTCTGAAACGTCTACCTGACTACACGGCGTCACATTCCACGAGACAGTACTCTCCACAGTCACCGAGTCGAGTCAAGTCTTATGTTACGACCGTCGGTCAGTCGGCCAGTCTATCTTGGAATAAAGCATCCATCTGGAGCTTATAACCAGATTTGTATTACTACCAGACAGTTGCTGGTTTGCTGATGTGGGGCGCTCTCTCTGACGAAAGGACGAGTCTGTCGTTTACAATTGCTGCTGGACCTCGCCAGCGCAGTGATTCTCGGGCCCGAGTCCCGTGGGATTCGAGACTTCTCTTTTCATCGCCTCCTACAACTCGCAGGGCTACATTGGAGGTACATGAACCCGCCACCACACGGGGACAACATTCACTGCTTTGAGCATTTCAAATATAAATATTTAGTTCGTACCTGACAGGAAACATATAGCACCTCCACTACAAAGCCCAAGCGGTTAGTGCAGTTTAGGGAAACAGTCGCTGTTTATTTGTGCCAACCACACGGAACACACAGATACCGTACACTGTGTAGTCATAACGCAGAAGTTTTCTATGTTAAAGCAGGTGCAGGTGGTACATGAAGTCACCATTGGACTTTCAATGGTTAAAGCATGAAACCAGAACGAGATAATTTACCCATTCCTGAAAGCGGGACCCCCCATTCGCGAGCGCAGTGAAGTGACCCCTTCAGGGTCCGTGCCCTGTGTTACACAACTTCCCGCCTTGTGACACGAGAAAGTGCATTGTAACTTGGTCTGTGTGGCTGAGCATGCACAGATACCAGAGCAAATCTGTTGTTGAAGATTACAGTCTTCTGAGATGTGTCGCCGTATAGTCTGGTAGACGTTTACTACGATCTTTAGTGTAGGCTCCTCTGTTCCGTTTCGAAGACTGAGGCAGCAAGTTCCCCTAGCATGGTAGTAAGCATCTTCCAAACAACACGGCGTCACGTCCCACAACTATTCACCTCAAGTCTCACTTATCTGTGTGTAACTAACATTGAAGATAGAGGCATATATTTCTCCGAAATAATGGTGCCCACCTACCAGGCTAAGCGGTGTCATAACCCAGGTGACTACAATATGAATTTCACCGGCGTGGAAACCTCAGTGTGTTTTCAGTCATAATTTAAAAAGCGTTTCTTGTGTTTCCATGCGTGCTACCTATCCACAATGTCGTCTTCTTACCTGTCACGAAATTGTGTGCCATGACTGCGAAGTTATTTGCAGGTTTGCGCAGTGCTATAGCCTAGCGTCCGTCACCCGCGACTTTTCCGCACTCAAGAAACAACTGACTACGCGCTGACAGTGTGCTCCAATTTGTACCCAACAGCGGTTACAATCCTTTGCAAGCAGTCCACCCATGGCTCGCAGTACGGGGCTAACTGGGAGGAGGGAGTACGTGTCTGTCACACGTAGTGGGTTGGCGCAGCGGTATCATTGCTGGACTAGGGTTCGATGTTTCTGAGGTTGTCAGTGACATGTGGCAACGTGACGAAGTGTGTACACGTATAGAAATTGTCTCTTAGAAAAATAACTTTAAAAAGGTATTTACTGCAGAAGAAACAAAAAAAGGTCAGCGGGTACAGATAACCGTTAACTGCACGTCAAGCTTGTGGTTGCTTAGAAACATGCATCCAAAGTTGAGCCCGGGCTCATGGCCTTCACCGAGTGGGCTGATGTAGCGGTAACGCTATTCAGAATACACTCGGTTCGAATCTCGGCCGGGGACACCCGCTATCCCAACTGAGATTCTTAGTGGTCTTCCTCAGTGCCTCCGGGCAAATTCCGGGATCATGCCACGAGCGCTTCCCAGGGGGGCTGTTGAAGTGGTCACTAGAGGGCCAGCCAGAGAGCTCGGTGTGGAGGGTGTGGACGTCCAACAGTCGACATAAATGTGATGAAATCAAGGACAGTGCAATAGACGGGGCATGTAGCATACATGGCTAGATATAATAAATGTTTGTAAAATTTTAGTCTGAAAACCTGAAGGAAAGGGGCCATTTGAGAAATCTACATGTAGCAGGGAGATAACATTAAAACGGTTAAGAAAGAAGCAGTGTGTGAGGGTGCGAACTGGATTCATCTGGCTATGATAGGGTCCAGTGGCGAGATCTTGAGAACGGGATAATGAACCTTCGGGTTCCATAAGATGCAGGAAAGCTCTCGAGTAGCTGAGATACTATCAGCTTCTGAACAGGGACCAAGTAAGATCGCGATAGGGTGTTTGAAGGATGTGTGTGAGTACATCTTCCCACGAACTGCCTGACTGTTTGACCGTCTCCACAGAGCAGACTCCTCCCTGCGTCACCCGTCTCGCCAAGATATTCCCTGCTGCTTATGGAACCCGAAGGTTCACTGCCGTGCCATACGAACTCAGTCCACACGTTCACACATCATTTCTGTAGATTTATTTTAATAGTATCCACCCATCTATGCCAGGATCTACCAAATGATCTCCTTCCTTCAGATTTTTTGACAGAAAGTTTCTCTATGCATATTTCATATCCTGTACACATGCCATCTTGCCCCGTTCTTGCAGTAGACCCACAGTTTATTCAGGTCAAGACAGAAATGGGAACACGAAATTCGGCGCGGTCTGCAGATTAAAGGCTACAACTTGAAGTACTTGATTTTTTTACTGGTAATAATAAGTTCCGGGAAGAACTGACGCACTCTTCCAAAGACTGCTTTGATCTACGCATCATACATTCTGCAGTGAATGTTTGAAGTCCTTCTAAGTGGTATTTAAACAGCCAGTCCGTACTTCACAGGAAACACTACGTCACCGCTACAAAGCCCAACCGGTTAATTCTGTTTAGGGAAACAGTCGCTGTATATTGTGAGAACCATACGGAACACGCAGATACACTCTGTGGGCAGAACGCAGTTTTAGCGTGTTAAAGCAGGTGGTACATATCGTAACCATTGTGCTGTGAAGGGTTATGTAATTCTATACAGCGCCGACTGGTGGGATGGTCAACGTATAATGAATTAGGAAGGACGTGGATGGAGACCGTCGTGGCCTAATTTGAGGTACTATCCCAGCATTTGGCCGGAGAGCCCAAGAGAAGTCAACACGGCTGGTCTCCAGGCCGAGTATCGAACCCACGAACTCCCGAATGCGGCGACCCAGGAGAGGTAGCCAATCGACCCATATGT